TGTTAAAATATATTTTAACAAAACTAGACAGCCTACAGTATTTTTACAGTCTTTATTTTACAGTTAAAATATATGTTTATCAAATAAAGTCTAATGTTACAACTAATCGGGGATCCCTTTAAACATAAAACGTTTATTACAAGTGAGGCCCACCATAATGCTCATGTGGCCCTCAGTGAAAATGAATTTGACACCTACACCTCAGCTGAAACACTCATTTCTTGACATCACCGTTTTAATAAAGTCCTCTAAGTTCAACCAGACCCTCGAGTGTCTCTGTGTTTACAGTAATTATGTCATTAAACACAGGAGTAAAGTTAGAAATGTCTCAGACCTGCACCCCTTGGTCACTATTTTCATTTACAATAATAGTGTTTAATTCATGAAAAGTGAATTAACATAACTTTACTCTCACCATCATGTCTGATCTTTAAACGGTGACTCCTGCAGATGTGCTCTGCTCTGACAGCAGCTGCGTCACCATCACTCCTCTTTATACCAGAGAACAGAGATCTGTTTTTACCTGCATCCAGACATCGTCTTTGATTGTGCAAAGGACTTACATATTTAAATGYAGGYGTGTCACGGGGAGGGGAGGAGTCTGACCTGCGCTCAGTTCCGCTTTTGTTGGGATGTATGAAGGAAAGGTGCACAGAAATACACAGTACATATTTATGTGCGTAGGTACTTGTTTGAATTTAGTCCAACACCTGTTTTCAGTAAGAACGCTGCTCAGTCTTTGAAACATGAGGCCCCTGATGTTTTCCAACAGCCCAGWCTTCTCTCAGTATACTGTGCAGATCTGTGCTGCACAGTATGAGTCTGCAGACCTGACCTGGTTTACTTTTATGTTTCTTTGTATTAACTGTCATGTTGGTATAAAGACATTACACATGCTTGACGTGTTATTACTGAAGAAGTTTGTGTTTTAAAGCCCTATGGGTTTGCTTCATGTTGCAGTTGTTTTCTTTTGGAATTTTAGCTTTGTTTCATATTGMTTTAATCATATTTTTTATTTTGGTTTCTGGCATACAAACTGACAAAATATAAATGAATAATATATTTTTTTAAATTATGAGTTTATCAAAGATCAGTTTGGACCCAAGTTTCTACATGAATCTTTAATGCATTTTTTTCAGGATTCACAACTAAACATTTTATCGAACAACATAACTCACCAAGATTTACATTCAAACGTTGGTAAATCTCTCCTGTCTTCACTGAACCCTAAACTAGTACTAATCTTGTTTGAATCCTGGAAACACAGAAGCGGAAACCCTCTAGATCAGGAATGGGCAACTTAAATGATGGAAGGGCCCATAAGGCCACATGGTGCTGCACAYTAATGTAACAAAACTGATTTGATGATGATTTGGCATCCTTCTAGAAGGTGACCTATGACCTGTTGTGGTCAAAGGTTTTCTTTTGCTAGTGACCAATGTGAGCGCAGCTCTTACATTAGTTTTTAAATAAAACAACCATTTTAAAATTGTGTGTATATTTATGTTTATTAAACCAGCATACAGTAGCTTAACATATTTCATTCTCAAATGCACATATAACAGTTGTACTCTTCTTTATTAAATATGAATACAAAACATTTWAAAAAATGAAAAATAAACACTTTAACGAGCTCAAGTGCAGCAACATAAGACTCCTTGAGTGCAGACTCCTGCGTGGTTCTGGTAAAAAGTCTCTGTTTATGTACTTGTGGCTTCAGGGTCATTAGATGGAAGTCACCCATGGACTGCCAGTTGCCCATCCCTGCTTTAGATGACTAAGAGATCCTAAAAATACAGTTTGGCAAAAAAATATATAAATAGTAACATTATACGGCTCAATAAAGTTATGTAAAAACCAGAATCTTACATATATGTGTGTCTGCATGTTTTGGACTGACAAACAGGGAGGTGGTCCCCGCTGGTTCTGACAGACAAGCTTTCATTTTGTCCTCAGAGCAGGTTTATTCAAATCATCGTCTGTGTTCGTTCCAGTGGGAATAATATCCACCTGACCACAGTTATAAGAGTTCCTGCTCTAAATTAGACTGTCTGGGCTTTGAGCTCCATTTTATATCTATGTTTTTTTAATTAGGAATATTATRGAAATGGAAAAAACTATTATAATTGGCTTTTTATGTCCAAAATAGGTTTAGCTTCTGGCTTCACTTGCTACTTTTTGTCTTGGAGCTAAATGTAAGCAGTTACAGATACAGTACAAATACTATGAAGTATCTGGGTAAATATAATTAAAATGCAGGTGGACAGAGTAAAAGCAAATGTGGCCCCGACATATAAATATTTTWTACCTGTCATCATGTCACTAGTGTACTTTGCCAACCAGGTATTTCTCAAGACTTCAAGAAACATTCACATTTTTAGCTAACTCTTAGCTAGCAGGACACCAGGGACTTCTAAGTATTTAAGTATTAACCACGTGCTCTCTTTCCAGGGGAGGCTGAAGAGTGCTTCTCACAGTGATGTAAGGATTAAACCCCTTTAGATCAATGTGTCTTGTCTCTCTCCTCTGTGTCTCTGTCTCTCAGCTCCCAAAKCAGCGGAAACGTTGTTTCTACACATTTAACCATCTTATCTACACCTGATTATTGTACTCTGAGCCTACCTACAGGTCATACATGACTTCAATGTACAACAAGCCACAAACAGAAAAAAAATGAGCTTACCTAATTCATCATGCAAAAAAATACACTAAAAATAACTGGAGATAAACTTACGTCAGTTTATTTATCCACAAATGAGTGAGGCAGCAGATTGGACATCAGAAAACCTCTGCAACAAAAAAAAAAACAACATTATTTTAGCTGCAACATTAGAGAGAGACTTCATCTGAGCCTGGCAGGAGACAAAATAACTGTAAAAATCTGTTCGCTCAGTTTAGGAAACATTGGGCCTCATGCAAGAACATGTTCGTATTCTTATCCTAAATTTCTCTTACTTTTGTTCGTATGAAGAGTTCGTACGAACATGTCACGTCAGATTCAACAAAC